TGTCATCTTGTAGGAACACAAAGGGACGTCCCAGGTGACCCTAGCGGTAAAGAATCCACCTGCAATGCAGGAGATGGGGGTTTGATCCCTGGGTTGGGAAGATCCCCTGGAGGAGGAAATGGCAACTCACTGCAGTATTCTTGCCTGGGAAATCCCATGGACAGAGGAGCCTGGCGGGCTACATTCCATGGGGTTGCAAAGAGTCAGACACAACTGAGCGACTGAACACAGGGGAACAGAGACATCATAACAACAGTTAATGCTTACATGGTCCACAGCAGTCAGTCCTCAAGATGCACTCCCTCCCCCCAGGAGGAGTGCAATATTCTCCTCCCAATATTCATGCCTTTAAACAGGCCCCACTCATACTGAACAGGGCTGACCCATGGGAACAAAACAAATAACAGAGTTATTTCTAAGACCAGTTCATATAAGACACCACAGCTTCCGCCTTGCTCTCTCTTGGACCATCTGCCCTGGAAGAAGCCGGCCACTGTGTCTCGAGGACACTTAAGACAGCCCTCTGTGAGGTCCACAGGGAGAGGAACTGAGGCCTGCTGTCAACAGGCAGCGTCAGCCCATCCATGTGAGCAAGACATTTTGGAAGGGATCCACCAGCCCCAGGTAAGCATTCGGATGACTGCATGGCTACGCTGGCTGACTCCACCACTGCAACTTCACAAGAGACTCTGGGCCAGGATAGCTGAGACAGGTCATTTCCCAATTCCTGACCCACAGAAACTGGGAGATACATGATTATTATTGTTCTAAGCTTCTAAACGTGGGGATAATTTGTTACACAGCATAGATAACTGATATAAGCACTTGTTAATGTAAATTATCTGAATCCTTGCAATCACCCCGAAGTAGGTTTTATCATTATTTAATCCATAAGGAAACTGAGGCACCAAACACTTAGGTGACTTTCTCAAGGACAAAACCAGAAAATGGGAAAAAGAGGATGGGCATCTGGCAGTCCAGAGTCTAGACTCGAAACCAACTACACTACAGCTCCCATTGTGGCTGCAGGTATGAGGCAGGAGATGGGCCTGAGGCTAAGCATTTACAACTGGCCTCCTGTTCAACCTCCTGGCATGAGAAGGCGAGCTCCAGCCCTCAGTTTATATCTCCTGAAGCAAGAGACAGTCAGGCTCCAGGACTACCTATTTACGACCGGACTCCTGTCTATATTTTGAGATCTACACCTTGATATAGAAAGCAGCAACTGGAATAGGGTTAATAAACGGACATTAGTCATTTTTATGGCAGGGACAGAGTGGGACTAACCCCTTTAAAGGGTCATATATTTCCCATCCCTGGGGCAAGGGAGACATTGGGAGTGAAAAAGGAGCAGGCATCACCCCATAATATGTGATGCGAAGGGTGTTTCATAGCCTCTGGGCTGAAATCCATCTTGGAAAAAAGTTGCACACCTCTGTAGGAGAGATCTATATAAATGATTAACCACCTCTTTTCTGCATTCCTCCTCACTAGGGGGGATGTCCAAACCCTTTCTCTATGGGTGTGCATCTCTGCTTTTCCTCCATCTTAACTAAACCATTTCTCTCTGTTCTCTCCCTCTTGTGGTTATGCTATATCTCTAATGTTAAACATTGTACCTGCATTTACAGTTTTTGCTTCTGTGAGAAAAGAATTTCCCCTGGGGGCAAAGATCCAGGGAAAAACAACTTTTAGCCTCCAGCCCTTGCAGGTCTGGGGGTGGCTAGGATTCCTGGTGTTCATCCAGGCTACCCAGGTTCAATTCCTGGGCAGAGAATTAAGATCTTGATTCATGCTACCACTCACAGCTGCCTCAGAGAAATCAGGTACAGTCCATCATTCATTTATTCAATGAATGTTTAGCAGGCACGATGTGCCGGACACTATTCTACATCCCAGAGGAACAAGAAAAAGCCTCTGCTTTTCATGGCACCCACAGTCTAGAAGGGAAAAGAGCTAAATAATGAGGAAATGTTCAAACCAGATGACTTCAGATGGTGCTAAGTGCTTTTGAAGGAATAAGGAATAAGTAACTGGTCTGCGTAAGAGAGATGGGACCACTTCTGCAGACAAGACTCCAGAGGTCTGTCTCTCTGATGTGACAAGTGAGCAGAGACCCAACAGGAGCAGAAAGAGGCGCCATATGAAGACCAAAGAGAAATGTGCTCCAGGCAAAGAGCAGCAGAAGTAAAGGTCCTGAGGCAGAAATGACATTGATATGCTGGAGGAATGACAAGGCAGTCAGTGTAACTGCAGCGAGATGGGCTAAGATAAGGCTGGAGGTGATGAGCGCCTGCAGAGGTGGGCTGGGGTCCTTGCTGGAGGCCATAAGTTTATTCTCAGAGCAGTGGGAAGCCCCTGTAAAGGTTTAATTAAGAAAGGAAGTATTGCTGTTTAGTCACTAAGTCAAAGTGCTAGTTGCTCAGTCATGTCTGACTCTGTGGCCCCATGGACAGGAGCCCATCAGGCTCCTCTGTCCATGGAATTCTCCAGACAAGAATACTGGAGTGGGTTGCCATTCCCTTCTCCAGGGGATCTTCCGGACCCAGGGATCAAAACTGGGTCTCCAGCACTGCAGGCAGATTCTTCACTGTCCGAACCACTAGGGAAACCCTGTTTAGCCCCCAGGTCGTGTCCACCTCTTTTGTGACCCCATGGACTGTAGCCCACCAGGCTCCTCCATCCATGGGATTTCCCAGGCAGGAATACTGGAGTGAGTTGCCATTCCCTTCTCCAGGGGATCTTCGAGACCCAGGGATCAAACCCTGGTCTCGTGCATTGGCAGGCGAATTCTTTACCACTGAGGCGACCAAGTATATTGTTTATTCAGCTATAAGAAAGAAAGAAATAATGCCATTTGCAGCAACACATGCAGATCTAGAGATTATCTTACTAAGTGAGGTAAGTCAGAAAAAGACAAATACCATACGATATAAATTATATGTAGAATCTAAAATATGACACAAATGAACTTATCTACGCAACAGAAATAGATTCACGGACATTGAGAACAGACTTGGGGCTGCCAAAGGGAAAGAGATTGGGGGAAGGATTGGGAGTTTGGTATTAGCAGATGCAAACTATTATATATAGAAAAGATAAACAACAGGATCTTGCTGTATAGTGCAGGGAACTATATTCAGTGTAATAAACCATCATGAGGAAAGAAATAAGGCAAGCATTGTGATCTGTTTTATCATTAAGAAGGATACACAGTTCCCGTTTCTATAAACCAGATGCCCCTTTGTCTCCTGCCTCCCTCCAGCTGTCCTCCCATGATGCTCGTAAGTGCGTCAGGTTTACAAAGTGCAACAAAGTTATAAACACAGTCCCTCTGAGGCCCCCACTCATGCTGGTGGGTACAAGGTCATAAAATATCATCTGTCCAAGCAAAGGGAAAGTGAAAGTGGCTCAGTTGTGTCCGACTCTTTGCGACCCCATGGACTATACCGTCAGTGGAATTCTCCAGGCCAGAATACTGGAGTGGTTAGGTGTTCCCTTCTCCAGCGGATCTTCCCAACCCAGGAATCGAACCCAGGTCTCCCGCATTGCAGGCGGAGGGAGGAACCTTTTAATTTAAGGTGCTAGTTATAATACTCATGAAAAGATGCTTAGAGATCCCCGTGAACACCCAGCAAACATCTAAAAAAGATGAATCACGCCTTCTGTATGCGAAACCAGTGTTGGCATCTTAAATGTGATGAATTGTGACAAAATAAGAGAAATAAAAAATCAAGTGGAAACTACTTGAGTAGCTATTACTGAAAGGCTGAAATTGAGCTGATGGCAACACTATTTATAATGCATTATGTTATATATATATATATGCCTCATTCATGTCAGACTCTTTGCGACCCCATGGACTGCAGCCCACCAGGCTTCTCTGTCCAAGATATTCTCCAGGCAAGAATACTGGAGTGGACTGCGTTCTCTTCTTTAGAGGATCTTCCTGACGCAGGGATTGAGCCCTGATCTCCTTCATTTCAGGCAGATTCTTAACCTTCTGAGCTACTGCGAGGTCCTTATAATGCATTAGAAAATTATTAACATCAAACCCAGGCTGACTTCTTTATTCTGATTCCTGAGCAAGTTCCCAGAGTTTGGGTCTCTCCGGGTGTTTTTCTCTTTTTTTTCTTCTAAATGTTGAGATCAACCCAATTAGAAGGGTCCAATACCTAAATATACAAGTATATTTTACTGTAAATCCTTGTAACAGAATCTCTATTCTCAAACTAAGAGAGAAAAAACGCTGCAGATAAAGCTTCACAGTGGGGTCTTGCATTTTGTTAAGGGCCAATATAAAGTACAAATGCTGGAAGGAAGCCTGCTGGGTGCTGAAAACTTCACTATCTTGACTGAGTAGCAGTTCTACACATTTATGTAAAAATTCACAGAGCTATACACGTCTTTCTTAACTTTTACTCAAAAAAAAAGGTGGTGGGGGGGAGCATATAATACTTGGCTGACTACCACTGATAGTGTCTTTCTTGTATCAAGCACAGCGCAAAGCACTTCACACATTTTTCTCTCAACTAATCCTACCAACAGCTTATTCCCATTTTACTGAAGAAGCTGAGGTTCAGAGAGGGTAAGTCACTTACCAAAGATCACACAGCGATCAACAGCCCAGGCAGAATTCAGTTCTGAGTCCATCTAATGGTAAAGCCTCATGTGTTTACAATGTGAGGACTAGCTGGGCTGTCATAATCTTTTCATTTAACTTATAGGATGATTTTGAGGCTAGCCGGGGACTCCTCGACCAGCTCTAGGAAGACAAACTCACCGCGATCGGGACTCCCACTCTAGTGCTCCTTTTGGTAACGAGGTCTCTAAATGGGGTGAGGATGGGTTGGAGGAGCGAGAGCAGGAATAAGAACGATCCGCTTTCCCCCAAGCCGGGAGCTGAGGAGGGGGCCCGGCCCGCGCCGAGCTCCCAGCACCGCGCGCCCGGGTGCCCGCGTGCCCGCCGGCCGCCTGGAGCCGGGTCGCCGCCGCCCTACCTTGGTGGATGAAGGGCTGCCTGCTGGGCCTGCCGGGCGGGAGCGTACTGATACTGGACTCGCTCATGACTGCGCCCCGCGCCCCCGAGAGGCCGCCGGAGACCCGCTCCGGCCGCCGCCGCCGCCGCCTCCCGTCCTTTCCTCCAGGAGCCGGGATTCCAGGTTCCGGCGCCGACGTCACAGAGGCGGGGGCGGGGCGCCGGCGCCCTTCCCACGCCCGCCGCGCGGGACCCCCAGAGCAGGGCCGAGCTGGGACGCGAGGTACCGGCCGGAATCCGACGGAGGGTGCAGCTCCGCGCCGTCCGGGACTTGGGATGGGAGACGTGAGTGGAGAGCCAGAGGGACCGGGAACGGGCTCCATCCAGCGGCCGCGATAAGGGGCCACCTCCCGGATTTTAAAAAGTGTAATAAAAATAACCAGGACGCAGAACAAGTGTATCTAGTAAGTTACTGTTTGGGTACAAAAAAAAAAAAAAAGAAGAAGAAGAAGAAGAAGGAATATCTTTGTACATATTTATAAACACATTAAGATGACTCTCGAGTGGGAAGCTGGGAGGCTGGTTGAGAAAGGTTCAAGGAAGGATTTTTCAGTTTTTCTCGTTTATCTTTGAACCTTATCCACGTTTCCTCTCTGCCTCTATCCGTGTACAGTTTAAAAGAATGAAAACGAATTACCAAATGTAAATGCCAAATAAAGAAATGTAATCGTATATGCAGAGTTCCAAAGAATAGCAAAGACAGATAAGAAAGGCTTCCTCAGTGATCAATGCAAAGAAATAGAGGAAAACAATAGAATGGGAAAGACGAAAGATCTCTTCAAGAAAATTAGAGATACCAAAAGAATATTTCATGCAAAGATGCGCAAAATAAAGGACAGAAGTGGTATGGACCTAACAGAAGCAGAAGATATTAAGAAGAGGTGGCAAGAATATACAGAAGAACTATACAAAAAAGATCTTCGTGACCCAGATAACCACGATGGTGTGATCACTCACCTAGAGCCAGACATTCTGGAATGTGAAGTCAAGTGGGCCTTAGGCAGCATCATTACGAACAAAGCTAGTGGAGGTGATGGACTACCAGTTGAGCTAGTTCAAATCCTAAAAGATGATGCTGTGAAAGTGCTGCACTCAATATGCCAGCAAATTTGGAACACTCAGGGGTGGCCACAGGACTGGAAAAGGTCAGTTTTCATTCCAATTTCAGAGAAAGGCAATGCCAAAGAATATTCAGACTACCGCACAATTGCAGTCATCTCACATGCTAGCAAACTAATGCTCAAAATTCTCCAAGCCAGGCTTCAACAGCATGGGAACTGAAAACTTTCAGATGTTCAAGCTGGATTTAGAAAAGGCAGAGGAACCAGAGATCAAATTGCAAACTTCTGTTGGATCATAGATAAAACAAGAGAGTTGCAGAAAAACATCTACTACTGCTTTATTGACTACGCCAAAGCCTTTGACTGTGGATCACAACAAACTGTGGAAAATTCTGAAAGAGATGGGAATACCAGACCACCTGACCTGCCTCCTGAGAAATCTGTATGCAGGTCAAGTAGCAACAATTAGAACTGGACATGGAATAACAGACTGGTTCCATATTGGGAAAGGAGTACATCAAGGCTATATATTGTCACTCTGCTTCTTTAACTTATATGCAGAGTACATCATGTGAAATGCCAGGATGGATATAGCACAAGCTAGAATCAAGATTGCCAGGAGAAATATCAATAACTTCAAATAGGCAGATGACACCACCCTTATGGCAGAAACTGAAGAAGAACTAAAGAGCCTCTTGATGAAAGTGAAAGAGGAGAGTGAAAAAGTTGGCTTAAAACTCAACATTCAGAAAACTAAGATCATGGCATCTGGTCTCATCACTTCATGGCAAATAGATGGGGAAACAATGGAAACAGTGACAGAGTTTATTTTCTTGGGCTCCAAAATCACCACAAGTGGTGAGTGCAGCCATGAAATTAAAAGACACTTGCTCCTTGAAAGAAAAGCTATGACTAACCTAGACAGCATATTAAAAAGCAGACACATTACCTTGCCAACAAAGGTCCATCTAGTCAAAGCTGTGGGTTTTCCAGTAGTCATGTATGGATATGAGAGTTGGACCATAAAGAAAGCTGAGTACGGAAGAATTGATGCTTTTGAACTGTGGTGTTGGAGAAGACTCTTGAGAGTCCCTTGGACTGCAAGGAGATCCAACCAGTCCATCCCAAAGGAAATCAGTCGTGAATATTCTTTGGAAAGACTTGATGCTGAAGCTGAAACTCCAATACTTTGGCCACCTGATGTGAAGAACTGACTCCTTGGAAAAGACCCTGATGCTGGGAAAGATTGAGGGCGGGAGGAGAAGGGGATGACAGAGGATGAGATGGTTGGATAGCATCACCGACTCGATGGACACGAGTTTGAGCAAGCTCTAGGAGTTGGTGATGGACAGGGAAGCCTGGTGTGCGGCAGTCCATGGGTTCGCAGCGTCAGACACGACTGAGTAACTGAACTGAACTGAATCATATATACGTTTGTATGGGGCTTCCCAGGTGGCGCTAGTGGTAAATAACCTACCTGCCAATGCAGGAGACATGAGACTCGAGTTCGATCCGCTTAGCACATAGCACATACGTTTCTGTATAATACAGGTAACTGCCAAATTAAATAAATGGAAAAGTGAAAGTGAAGATCTCTTAGTCGTGTCCGACTCTTTGCGAATCCTTGGACTGTACAGTCCATGGACTTCTCTAGGCCAGAATACTGGAGTAGGTAGCCTTTCTCTTCTCCAGGGGAATCTTCCCGACCAAGAGATCAAACCCCGGCCTTCTGCATTGTGGGTGGATTCTTTACCAGCTGAGCCACAAGGGAAGCCCAAGAATACTGGAGTGGGTAGCCTATCCCTTCTCCAGCGGATCTTCCCGACCCAGGAATCAAACCAGGGTCTCCTGCATTGCAGGTGGATTCTTTATCAACTGAGCTATGAGGGAAGCCTAAATGGAAAGTGTAGGTAAACTGCCTATGCAGAAGAATTCTAATAAATTATGCAGATATGTCAAGGAGGTGGAGTGTGACTACCCAGTCTTTAAGTGTGGGCTACACACAGGGGCTCCCTTCCAAGGAGGATTATGGAAAGGAAGGGCGGGTTACAGCAAGTAACTACCTGCATAATACCTGATAAACACTTCCTCAGAGAGATGATCAAGGTCAACATCAACAGTTGACATCTTCCCTTCCTTCCCAGAGTCCACTTCTCAGCCCGTGATCCCAGCCCACAGATTTAGAAGTAGATGGATGGAGGCTCCCAACTCCAGGCACTGTCTTCGTCCTATGTCTCACCTGGCACATGGTCCTGGCTTGGTCTGCTTCCTAAGCCAGGAGAGGCCCTGGGTTCTCTCTGGGGCAGGCAGTGAGCCCCCATATCCTGAAGGAGTGTGCAATTGATTAGTGTCTGACTTATTAGAAAAGACCCTGATGCTGGGAAAGATTGAAGGCAGGAGGAGAAGAGGATGGCAGAGGATGAGCTGGTTGGATGGCATCACCAACTCAATGGACATGAGTTTGAGCAATCTCGGGGAGATGGTAAAGGACAGGGAAATCTGGTGTGCTGCAGTCCATGGGGTCGCAAAGAGTCGGACACGACTGAGCAATTGACCAACAACAACAAAAATCCTGAAGGAGACTCATTCCTTTCAGGCGATCACTGATTTTACAGGAACCGAAATAGGGTAGTTAATTGGGAAACAGTCACAGAAATCTCCTGTTAGAATGAAGTAGAAGGGGGAGAAAGGCTGGTAGCCGGAAAAATAGAAATGCAGAAGGAAGGATGCCAAGTAGGACAGAAAGGAGAATCAAACATGGAATTCTTGATTCCCTTTCAGTTCAGTTCAGTCACTCAGTCATGTGACTTTCGTCTTTCCTAAGAAGACGGGAGGAACCTTCAGTCTCCCTTTTTAGAAAAAAGAACCATGGTGTAGAGAGGCAGTGTGGAATCGGCCCCCTGCCCTCCTTCCCCCGCAGTGATCACCTAACCCAAAGTACCACCTCCACCAAGTCAAGGACCTCCTCCCGAATGTCTTGCTGTCTTGTCCAAGACTTGGCCACCCCGCGGTCAGAGCCAGCTTCTCAGAAAGGAAATTGATCTTGTAATTTTCCTGCTTAAACATCCCGTCCTCCTCCTTCAGTTTCCTCTTGCCTCTTAGAACCCTCACTCTGCTTATCATGTGTGGAGCAGGCTTTGCAGGACCTGTCCAGCCCCACCTCCTACCATCATCGCTGTGGCTGACTTCTGTTCTACTCCTGTCTGTTCCTGCCTCCAAGTTTATTTGCTGTTTCCCTCTTCCAGGAGCCTGCACCTCACACTTGCCCCTGATTTTGTCTGATTCTGCCTTCACATGGCAAAAGATGGCCACATTGCAGCCCCAGGTTGACATAAACTCTGAAAAGATTGGTTAGAGGACTCTAAGTCCCCAAATTCTGGCAAGGACAGTCTGATGTATTTGACTTAAATAAAGAGTAAATTCCTGGCCTCGTTGACCATGTTCTTCGTGTAGGCTGTCTTAGTGCATCCTGTTGCCTTTCCCTTTCTTTCCATCCCCAATGACTGTCATTCCACAAATGATCTATTAATACAACAAAAATGCTTTGTAAACTGCAAATCTCTAAATAAATGTTAATATGGTAACTGTGGCTGTGTAAGACCTAACTGTGGAGTAGCAAAAATGGGACTGAAAGGAGGGCATTTTGTATATCATAGATGTAATGGACATGGGTTTGGGTGGACTCCAGGAGTTGGTAATGGACAGGGAGGCCTGGCGTGCTGTGGTTCATGGGGTCACAAAGAGTCGGACACGACTGAGCGACTGAACTGAACTGAACTGAGATGCATGCAAATAATGTTTTTAGTTCATTGATAGCAAAAAAATCAGCCGATACCTTTGCTACTCTGAGTTTTCATGGAGAGTTTGAGTTTGCTGTTGGTTTGTTTGCTATTTTTTTTTAACTCATTTGGATGATTTGTCTAAACAAAGCCTTTAGCAAAATATTTTCCTCATCTTCTAATATGTTC